CATGTAATAGTATATAAGTTTTGTTTGCTGGTTTATTTTTAGAGAGGAAAAGAAAAAGAAAAAAAAAAGGGGGGGCACATTTTAAAAATCTACCAAAAATCTGCAAATTATTTATTTCAATAAAATTTTCAGCATTTGTTCAATAATAAATATTTATGAAAAAGTATTTTATAAGATGTCTGTGGAAGTAATTTTTTTTTTCCAGTTAAACTCCTTTTTATTTAATTTAACAAAATCTCAAAATAAAAAATGTTTTTGCTTAAAATATTTATATAAGTTACCAGAGAAATTAAATTAGCTGAAATTTTATTTGAAACATAATCTGGAGTCATAAAAAATATGCCCTGAATCTGAAAATGAAAATAAAAAAATCTGAAAGGAAATTTTTTATTTAATGTTTTAAAATTCTTTTTATTCTCCTTGGACATTTCTGAAACATTGTCATTAAATAATAACTGTTTTAATCATTGAGAAATGTAAAGTTTTAAAAAATCCAATAAAAATTATTTTTAAGAGAAAACCATTTTTATTATTATTATTATTATTATTATTATTATATACACAAATTATGTAATTAGCATGTATGAAATATTGTTAAAGTAATAAAATTATCTCTTTTAGCCACTCTTGGGACTTTTTAACATACAACTTTTTATGCATAAAAAGCATGTTTTTATCATTTTTGGTCACTTATAATTCAAATGTAAATCTAAGTGGACTTTCACCAATATAACTAATTTATAATAAGGGGAAAAACAATTTTAAATCATGCTTTAAGTATACAAAGTTATTTTTTCTTTATCTCAAATAATTTTAAAGTATTTTCTCACAATTCCAAATAAATTAACTTCAATGATGCTATATACTATAAAATTTTAAAAATGCTTCATAGGTACCTGATATTCATTCAACATAAAACATGGGGTGGGATGCTAAAAGGTTTTCAGCCCAACCAAGAAGCCCTGCTGCTTCTAATATTTGGTCACATTATGAGGAGTGGATTGACAGAGAATTTGTGTGTGTGTGAATGAAAGAGAGAGTGTAGTTCAAGTATGTTTTATATCGATTTCTCATAAATTAAATCCCACTTCTAAATCATATGGTAAAGTAGCACCTCTCATAAAACTGAATATATTTGAGAATAGAGGTGATCACTTCTATCATCAGAGAAACTATCAGAATTGTTACATCAAATTAAATAGATTATTTCCTTAAAATCACAGAAGACCCAAGAGTTCCATTCCAGTCAAAGTTTTCAAATATTATCCTTCACTGATTAAATTTTCATATGTATTTTTTTTATTGATAATTCAAAAAAAATCTATACCCAGAGTATAGAATATCATGCAATTACCTAGAGACACTATTAATTACTTTAGTATTAAAAATTACTGTTGACTTTTTTTAGCTAGTGTCTGAAAAAATCATGAACTGATTTTGAAACAAATTAGTTAAAAACAATATGACTAATGCAAAGTCCCAAGATGCAGAAAGAAGGCTACAATGAAAATCAAGGAAAACAAAAGCACAACAATGATAACCTAAAGTTGAGTACAAATATAGTAAAACTTCCAACAATGTTTATAAGGAAGCATTTACAACATAACTAATATAAAGAATAAAATGCAAGGAAGATTGACATATTTATATGACTGATTTCTGGAGTTAAATATAAATTTTCGCTTTTCATACATTTGAGAATTAAATCCAGTATCAAAAAGCACTGTACATACAACAGAACTGTACATACTACATTTTGTTAAACAATTCAGTATAACTAATGCAATATGAAAATATTAATCCATAGTTTCTGAAAATAAACCCAGAAAAAAAATTTATAACAATTCTGAAGGCTGAAAACAGGAAATCTATTCTAATTTTACGCAACAACTATTTTGGCTAATGCTGTTAACTTTCACATCAACCATCATATTGGACAAATTCTCAATTCATGTTCCATTTTTCAAATTTATTTATAATTAAAATTGTTAACATGCCATAATTAACTTCTCCCTGTAGAAAAATGAGATGAATAAAGTATAAAATATTGCAGTCCAAATTTGCATTAAAAAAGTTAATATTCATGCAATACAGGATAAGTTGAAATAGTGATAATTAAATTGCAATTCTGAAATAGAATAATAATTTGCAGGTATAGCAAAATAACTTTGAACATTAATAGCAGCTGCCTGTATGTTGACTGTAAAACACTCCAAATACTAACTTTAGAATTATCTTTCAATTGACATACAGAAAATATCCAAATACAACAAAAATGATTAAGTTTATTTGGGGTTTTGATATAGTTAAATAAGAAAAAATAAAAAAATTCAGTAGGTTACTTTCTGGAATCTATGTATAAACGTAAGATGTACATCCTTCAATTTTCAATCTGTTGTAACATGGGCCCTTCTAAATACAGGATATGTTTCCCAACATTCAATAGAAAATGATCATGAAATCTTGATGTTAAATTCTTTTAAATTTAAATCTTCATGTTAAACAAGCATACAAATTTACCTAGAGAAAAATATTAGTTTAAGTAAATTTACTTTCCATAATGCTGAAACATGTTTTGCAATAGATCTTTATTTTTAGTATAACAATTAATGGACTTATATTTACATAACTAATGACAAAAGCTTAAAAAAAAAAAAAAAAAAAAAAAAAAAAAATACAACCTAAAAAAGTATAAGAGGGCTTAAGCTATTATTATACCCAACTAATAATTGGCTTTTTAAGATTTCTAATTTTATATTAATTTAGGAATATTCTTATTGTCCATTTGTTTTATATGCATATATTGCACACCAGAATGCTTCCGCAATGATATCTATTCTGGGATCATAGAAAGTTTCAGGCATCCATGACATCAGACTTTCTTTTCCATGGGCCCAGCTGAGAGTGACCATTTCTCGACTAGCAATCTAGTATAGTTTCTGCAGGATTGCATGAATTGTAACAATATTTGTGTCTACTAAAAGGAGATCCTTTTATCAATCCTATGTAGGAATCAATCAGAAGTCTATTAGTCTTCAATAATTGTTCAGATAACAAAGTTTTACAAATATATTGAGAATTCTCCTTTAAGACACCTGACTAATGAATTCAAATGTGTGTTACATGCAATAGCTGACAAACAAAACAAAAAATTTAAAGGGATCATTTTGCATGCATTAAGTGTTCAGTTCAACCTATTTTCAATATCATCCTATTCAATTCGAAATGCCATAATGCCAGTAATAAAAAAAAAAAAAAAAAAATACAAATGTTACTGGACAGAAAATTGTATCATTTTCATTATTAATGGCTAATAGTGCATTTTTTATTGTTACATCTAAAACTGAAAATGGTGAAATACTCTGTATACTATACACCTTCATATTAACAGATGTGAAAAATTTGAAGCAAGAGTATATTTTAGAGCATTCAAATCGTAAATTTTATAAAATAGGCCTTAGTTATTACTTTAATCCATACAAAATCTATAAATTTAATTAAAAAACTTTGTTGCAATTTTACTGATAAAAAATTAAAGTTCTTTCATAAAGAAAAGAATGACTAACATTGATGAAGTGAAAGATTTTTTAAATTATAATCATTGTTGGAACTTTAAAACCTCTTGTAAAAAGAATTATGCCTTATGCTTAATTCTTTAAAATATAAAATTCCCATAAAGATTCAGAGACAAATTTTGAGGGATTAATTTCATTACTTCTAGACATAAGCAAAACTTAAAAAATAACATTATAATCAATTATATGTATTCATATTATGTAGATGTTAACTGCAATTATATGATTTTCAAAATGAGATGAAGAATTAAGTTTTAAATATTGTAATTAAAAGCATTTATCCCAACTGTGTGCACATTAATGACTATCAATCATTTAAAACATAAAAAGACTACACTAAAATAAAGTAATAAAAGATTATTTTAATATAAATTAGGATGAAAGAAATGATGAAGCAAAATGTAAATAACCTATTTGAATTTGTCTATAATCCAGACTAAGTTAAGTATTTGCCTTTCTTTCACATTGAGTGCATATTTCAAATATTTTATGAAATGTTTTTCTTTGCTTTTGAGAAATTCTCATGGTATTAAAATAATTAACATGTTTTAGATGAAAAATAAAATAACTGCACTATTATCAAAAAGTAGTTGTTTCGGAGATTTTTTTTTATATATTAACAGGAAACATTCACAAATATTATCTGTAAATAGTCCAGCTTATTTTATGAAACTTACCTCAAATAGTTTATTACAAAACTAATCTTTCCAATTTGCACATATATTAATGCCAGTGTAGTGACCTTTTCAAATAGTAAGATATGTTGTAGAAGCAATCAATGTTTATCAACAAATGCTAAATATAAACCTACATGTAAATATTTTCTCAATATACATGTATACATAGAGAAATGACTTTAGATATTAAAAATATTTTCAATAGGGTTACCTAAAAGAAAGAAGGCAAACAAGAAAAAAAAAAAAAGAAATACTTTTAAATCAAGAGAAAAATCTGAAAGTCAAAAGTTTGAAAATAAATTTGGCAGATTTCTAATGCAATAAAAGGTTTTATAAAACAGCTCCTTAAATATCTTGCTGAAATTTAATTTGCTGAAATATACAGGTACAGTAACAACAATACAACCAATATTAAAACAAATTATAGAGTTTAAATTTGTTAAGACAAAAATGATTCCAAGAATTGATAAGCAATAAAATTATTTGCAATTTCTACTGTATGAAAAAATAAAAATTATACAAAGTTAATATGGATAATCTTTTTTTACATAAATAAATAAAAAATTGTAGAGCAGTTTTATGCCTTAATTTTAATTAGAAGTGAAAATAAAACTTGGTAGAAATTTATTCTCAAAGACAAAAAGAATTGTTCATGCATAAATTATTTAAATATGATGAGAGCACTTTAAGAAAAATATAAAGTATTTCAAGACATGATAAAAATCAAATGTTATTTTATTTTTTTTACCTTTCTCTTCGGGCTTCCTCATAGGTTCGTTTTCGAACATGACCAGCAGCTGCTGCATGAGCAGGGTGTCCTGGCAAAGTGGCCACGGCAGGAGGGGTGGATGTTGGGATCAATGTGGCAGCAGGTGCTCCAGCTAAAATTGGTTGGCCTGGAGGTGGAGGGGGAGGCATACCAGGGGCCATAGGAACAGCCATCATGTATGGCGGAGGCACCATCATGGGCACAAATCCTGGATATTGATTCATAATTCAGGAAATCTGCACACAAATAAGATAATGATAACTAATGTTATTTTAAAGATTAGTTTCACTTTATCAACAACTTCAAAGAAAATTATATTTCTCTTGTATACTATAAACATAAATAGTGAAACAGGTCTCTCATCTATTATGCAATAATAAAAATAATGTAAAATTTAGGCTATATTGATACCTAATCAAAGAATATTTATTAATGAGCCACAAGACACAAAGCTATAATCTCTGTTGATGACTACGAAACTAGAAGAAAATATAATTTTAGAACTTACTTTAGGAAGATTAACAGTAAGTGATGCAAGCTTCTACTGTAATATACCATAAGATATAAATAACTTTTATGTTAATCTCAAAAATGTTTTCACCAAAGAAATAATAATGTTAAAGAATAAATAATCATTCATTAAGTATTGAAAATCAAAAAGTGTTTTGTATCTGAATTAAGAGATATCTAATCGGATTGCAATATATTGGTTGAAATTTCCCAGCAAGTGTTCACATAGTATTTAATGGGGGAAACTTTTGGTTTATTTACACATACTCAAAATGAACATATTCCTAAAACAGCAAAAACAATTTCTGAGATGAGAAGCATCACTCAAGAAATTATTCTTAATATAAGACTAATAAAAGAGCATTAGTTTAATACTATTTTATTTTTGAGTGTATAAAAAAAAAATTATCACAAAATGCTAAAACTCTGATATACAAATATAGAGCCCAAATTTTAATTGGTAGATAATCTCTTTAATAGCTTCCTATTATAATTTAGACGATAAGCCACTATATAATTATAATCAGTCACTCTTATGATTGGGGGAGGGGGGTATTTTTTTGAGGAAATTTTGTCTCTGCCCACAAGCTTATTAAAACCATCCCATTTTTATTAATTTTACATTTTTGACTCTTTAAATGATTTTCCTACTTACCTTTTTAAGCCCTTCTTTATTACATATTGAGAAAAAATTCTGAGCCTTCTGATTAAGAGAACTCCTCTCTTTCTAATAGGCATCTAACATTTACAAAGCTATCCAGTAGAATATATAAAAGTTAATGAATAATCATTTAATATTTTCAAGACCTAAACATCTGCATTAAAATTATGTCCCATTTTCTGGTATACTGGTATACAGCTTAACACTTAAAATGAATTGCAAAAGAATATGTTTTGACAAAAAGCATTGGTTATACACAATAAAAATCCGTGTTAATTTACTGAAATTGTTGATTTTTTTCATTTGTTAAGTTTTAAAAATATTCCAGATATGAATAGCAGAAGTTATAAAAATATTATTGCAACTATTTTCAACTAATATTAAAACTTTAGCTAAAACAAGGGTGAATCCAGTTATTGAAATATAGCAAGATCAGCAGTTTTAGCTCAGATTGCATTTTCAAACAGCTTTATTATTCCATAGTAGTAAAAACAATACTCTTAAGAGCTAAGCACAAATTGAAAAATAGTTTTCATATCTTCATTAACTGTGACTAAAACAAAAATATGTAATGAAATATTTTTGGTTTTTTTTGTGAAAACAAAGTCTAGAAAAGATAGCTTATATGAAGTTGACATCATTTTAGGTCATGTGAGTTTTCCTAAGAAAATCTTTCTAGATATATTTATATCAATTGTATCAGGAAAAACAAAATGTCTAAACACACACAAAAAAAAAAATAAATAAAAAATAAAAGTTGTTTTTTTTTTGTGTTAATTACAATTTGACTAGCAAATTACTAAAGAATACAGGTGTATATCTATAATTAGCTTCTGAAGAAATTTTTTCTAGAGTTTATTAAATAGAATGATAAAACATGAAAACTGCCCCCCCCCAACTGATTATTTTTTCAACACACATAAAATTTGAAAACATCTGCTAACCGATTAAATTAAGTTTAACATTTTATTTCAGTAGCATACATTTCATAATTACTGAGATAAACTTTTAATTTCATTACAGGAACTAAAATTTAAATATATACAGATTACTGCTTTTCCTAAAATGGACACAATACTATGATCATGAAAACTCAACTTTCTAAATGATTTGATAAAAAAAAGAGAAAAACCAAAAATAGCCCCTACCCCCATAATAGCATCAAGAAAAGCATCAACATGCCCAGGCAGAACAAGATTTTCCAATCATACTTTGTTTTAGAACAAAAACTTGCTTTTAATTTCAAAAAAAAAAACTATACATTGAAAAGAACTGAGCATTTTTGCAATATGGAGGTGTGATTTCTATACCTTTACTTACTTAAATGAAAATGAAAAAATATCTATGCAAAACATCAAAAAACTGACCTGTAAAACTAATGATTATGGAATAGAATTACAGTATGTGTCATTAAACACATTTTTTTTTTTTTTACACATTGAAGAAATAAATAACTTCATAAAATATTAAGTTTGCTAGTTTCAAGTCTTGTTTATTTAGGTACCTCCATGAGATTGCTAAAAAAAAAAGCATAGCATGATGAAAAAAGACGCCAAACTTTATGAAAACAAAATTTTATCATCTAAATGTTTATGTTATTATTAAGAGGAAAGATCAAAGTATTTTGGGGGTATTTTTTTACATTTTTAATCATTCTTAGCACGTCCAAAATTTTCGTTAAAAAATCTTTTTTTTTTTTTTGAGTCAGCAAAATTGACCATTTTTTTTTTTTTATAAAAAAAAAAAAAAATGAAAATCTCACTTTGAAATTCTTTTAAATATCAATTATCATTTTTTTCAAAACTTATTTTAAGAAAATCAGAAATTATAATGTTTATTTAAAATATTTTGAACCAAGCTTAACTTAGCTTTTGTGCAAAAAAAAGATGTAATTTGAAAATAAAACAAAGCAGGTCATAAAATTTCACACGTCACTTAACAGGTGATGAATGACATTTGACGGATTCTGTGAGGATAATTTGTTCTTCGGAAGGAGAAAAGTGAAATAATTTACATTTAAATGAACAAATTATTTACTTTGTTATTTTTAAAGGAAAACTTTCAACATTCTAATTTTTTTTTTTTTTTTTTTTTGCTTTTTCACCTTTTACGTTTATGATGCTTTATGGAAAATATATTATAAAGAAATTAAAAATAAGACTTTAAGAGTGAGATTAAATTTCATAAAGAAAGGTATCTAATTAATTTATAGGTACCTTTCTTATGAAATTTTATCAGAAGTGTACATAAAATACTATAATTTTTATATACATTTATTTTACATTATTTTGTTATTTGTATTTCCATTCATTTTATTATTGATTTTGATATTTCATTCATGGAAAAATGTCATAACTGAGATTAATATAAAAATAAGATCATATAAATTTCATGATACTGATACTTGTAGGTACCATTCTCTGTTGAAATTGAAAAATCAAATTAACTTCTCCACACGTGTTTCGCAAAAGAAAAGACCTTAACAGCAGAGAACAATGCTTAACTCAAATAACACAACTTAATTGTATTCTGGTTGGTCTTCCGTACTTTATAATTACAGCCCAATTATAAACACAAAATTACATTTCTTAATTACTGCGGATCTTCTGAGTAGTCAAAATGATACAATTTGCAACGTGCTAAAAAAAGATCTATCTCATAAAGAGACTTAGGAAACCCAATGTGGCTTTTAACTAATTTTATAATATTTTAAAAAATTAAATGTAAAAATCTATTATAATTAAGAAATAACAAATAATTGTATTAAAAATTCATTTTTCATCAAAAAAATTTTTGCTTTCAGAAAATATTGTCCATATTCATAAAAAACAACTAAAAGCAAATAAAAGCATTTGAAATTAAATAATATCTTTGTTTTATTGAGTTTTGTATGTTAAAATTCAGAGTTGATTTTCAGGTGGTGCAATTAAAAAAAAAAAAAAAAAAAAAATATGATTTGCATTCCTCAAAGCCTTGTGCTTTTAACTATTGTAATCACTAAACCCGATTCGATCAATTTCTAGTGTTTTCATAAAAATTAGTTTGGGGGGATATATATATATATATATATATAAAAAATAAATATTTTCTGCCATGACTTTAATAAAAAAAAAAACATATTTATAATAATTTCGATCATCTGTGAATAGTTCCCGAAAGTTTCATTAACATCCGACAATTATTTTTATTTTTGCAAGATTTTCGAAATTAATGTGTGTCATACCAAAAAAATGTGCTAAAAATTGTCTATGTCATTTTACTAGTTCCAGTGATACAAAGAGAAACAAGTTTTTTTTTTTAATCAAAATTTAGAATGTTCTAAAAAGAAAAAATTTTAAAAAACAATTAAAAAAAAACTTTGGCCTTTCCTCTTAATAATAACATAAGCATTTAGACGATAAATTTTGTTTTCGGCAAGGTTGGCGTCGTTTTCATCAAGCTATGCTCTTTTTTTTTTAGCGATTTCGTGGAGGTACATATGTTTATTTAACTTTGTCTTAATTTAAAAGATATTTTTTTTATCAGTTTATTGCAAATATAAATTCTAATCTGTTATATTCATAATTTTGTGGATAGTGTTAGAGAAAATTTTCATAGCCTGTTTATATGTAGTACTTTGGATAAATAAATTTGATTTTAAGTGAAACACAAGCTAGAAATAGTACTTCCTTAACAAATTGCAACCAGAGATTATAATTTCAATGGAGATATACACTGCATGAGTCTTAAATATCTGTTTATATCTCGGAGATAAGATATTATGATTATTTACATTATTCGGACTGTTATCCTCATCTTCATTGACATATTCACAATGTTTCAGGCGTTGTATGCTCCAGCCTTCTTCAGGTGATTGGAATTTCGAATCGAACCCTTTATTTCATGCACCAGGGCAGATTGTTCTAGTTCCATAGTTTCATGGTACTGAACTCACAACTCTTTGGGTCTAGTCACTGGATCTAATCAAAGTCTTTATCCACTGAACCATTTGGATAAAGATGCTGGTTACTAGACCCAAAGAGTTGTGAGTTCAATACCAGGCCACAGCAGTGGTGAACCAAACTT